CTCCTGACTGGTCTTTCTACCACTGGTCTCTGCGATCCCCACCCAGCCACCATGGTGCCCAACAAAACAACCTTTCTTTAAGAAAAATAGTATCCTTCCTCTGCTTACAGTCTTCAGTGGCTCCCCGTCTTCCAGGAAGAGCTCCACCCCTCAGCACAGCAGTTAGTGCTTTTCCCAGGCCGGCACCAGCTCACCTTTCTAGCCTGGTCCCTCACCTGCTTTTCAAAATGTGCATACTCGGGCAAGATTTTATTTCTTTACATATGTGCTTTTTTGTCAGGGCACCCTCTCCAAACTTCTCTAGCTATGTAATTCTTCAGCCTTTTAGAAAACTCAACCTAACCATTATTTCCTCTAGAGAGCCAGATGTCTAGGGAGGCTGAATGTCTCCTGTGTCTGTTGGCCCGCTGAGTCTCCTGTTGTGTGAACTGTCTCTCTGTGTCCTTGCCTTTATTGGATTTGAGTATTGTGTTGATTCATTTTGGAAGAACAGGCAGTGCCCCAGGTATACACAAAAATGTTCCCCTGTTTTAGATAGCTGCTGCTTTTCTATCCTTACATAAATATACAAGCATCTCCAAGTAAAATTTAATGACAGATTGGATTTAGGCTGTGGAAGAGAGGGAGGAATCAAAGGTTTTCCATTCAGGAGTCTCAGACAGAAATAGGGAATCTGAGAAGGGGAAAGGTCTCAGAGAGAGGCTGGGGGTCTGGATTTAACATACCACCTGTGGGGACTTCCATATGCAGATAGCCTAAAGCAAGGCTGGGCAAACCTTGGCCTGGAGACCCACTCCAGCCATGCCCATCCGCATAGCTGTCATCTATGGCTGCTTTCACACCAGAGGCAGAATTGAGTGGTACACAGGCTTGTCCGGTTGCAAAGCCAGATACTTCCCATCTGGCCCTTTTACAGAAAACGTTCACTGACCCTGCTCTAAAGGCATCGTCTTGGAGCCATGCATACGAGTGTGTGCTGAGTTCGGAGAAGTTCTTGGGGGCTATACATCCCTCTCGGTGGTGAAAGGTAAAATCTTAAGTGTGGCGTGCCATTCCTCCCTCTGGCCATTGCAGTGCGTGCTGTCCATCGGCTACTGGAACATCGCCACCACGGCATCACCTGGCCCTCCACTGAACACTCCATCACACAGCTGACCAGCGCCATCCTCCAGCGTGTGAATGAGGCTTCTGGGCTCTACCAGATGTTCGGTGTGCTGGCTGATGTCGTCTTGTTGAAGGAGTGAGTAGCCCACCCACACCCAGTTCTGCCCTCTCCCCAGTCTCCCTGTCCCGCCATAGCTCTCCCATTCCTGTCTTAGGTGTGGAAGAGCCCAGTAGTTCCTCCTTACAGTGAAGCCTGCAGGGGCGGGGGGATCTACTCTGGTGGAAGAAATTGGTGAAAGCCACACACCACAAAAGCTGCAGACAGAAAGACCAACCTCACTGTGAATCCCAGCTTTCTACCTGTGTGCACTTAGGCCAGTTAATTGGCATCTCTGAGCCTCTCTGTCACCTGCAGGATGGGGATAATAACACCTACCTTGCAGGCCTGTAAGAGGGAGTAAAGGTGACGTACGGAAAGGATTCAGCACCAGTAGATGAGCACGGAGCTGTGTGGGCGAGAGCACCTCTGTGTGGCATTAAGAGTCCAGTCTGACAGGCAGCTGATCAGAGAGGAGGCAACTGCAGCAGGGAGGGGAAAAGGGCCGCAGGGGAGACCCTCAACGGGCAGGTGGCAGGTGAGAAGCAGAGGAAGAGCCCTCAGGGAGCAGCCTGACCCAAAGCTGGGGGATGCAGCAGCGTGGCCAGCAGGCAGGGAATTCAGTGCTCAACCCAAACACCTCCCATCATCCCCGACTCCGCCCTTCCTCACACCCATTTGACACACTCGAGCATCTGTAAACCTCAGCCTTCAAATTTTTCTAGAACCTGACCGCTTCTCACCAGCTCCACAGCTGCCACCTTGGTTGGGGCCACCAGCCTCTCACCTTTGTCCTGTTGTCTCACAACACAGTGGCCAGGTGATCCTTTTAAAACATGGGTCACTCAAATTCACCTCTGCTCGGTAGTCTCCAGAGACCCCAGTGGCTTCCCTTCTCAGCCCAGATGGAACCAGAAGTTCCTGTCATGGCACACACAGGCCCTCCTTGACCTGCTGCTCCCCACCTACCCCAGGCACACCAGCCTTCCTATCCCTCGAACACCAAGCCATGCCCTCCCTCCTAGGGCTTTTCCATACTGTTCTCCCGGCCTGGATCACCCTTTCCCCAGATACCACTGCAGGTTACTCTGAGCTTTCTGGAATCTGTCCCAGGTGTAAGTCAGCAGTCAGCTGTAACATGAATACCATGGGGCTGATCAGAGTCTGAACACTGTCGGTCACTTCCTGGAGGGGGACACATTCATGCACATGCATCTCCCCATTGCCGAAGCACTGAAGGGCCTGCCTCCCACACTGCCATTACCCGCAGGAACGCCACAGCATTTGAGTACCTGGAGGAGTTCCCCATGCAGATGCTGGCCCAGCTAGAGGCAATCACAGGAAGGCAGGCCAGACACGGGCTCTTCGTCATCAACATGGAGTATGGCAGAAATTTCTCTGGACCCGACAAGGACGTCTTCTTTTATGACCGGTCTGTGGGGCACACAGAAGACGCCTGGCAGTCTAACTTCCTCCATCCTGTCATCTACTACTATAGACACCTCCCCACTGGTGAGCTGGGTCTCTGCTGTCCCCCAAACAGGGCTTTCTTGAGGCAGGCACTCCTTGGACCCTGCTATCTATCAAAGTGTCACCATTAAGCCCTCACACAGCACAGCTGACAGGGGAAACTGTCCAAAGACCAAATGGGGCAGGAGGTCCAAGAATAATAAATGGTATTCTCTGGCTCATACCATGACCAGACCAGGCCACTCAGGGAGTGTCATGATCCCCAGGCACCACGTAGTAAGAGGAACACTGTCTTGCTATGTGTTTCCGAACGAGGTTGACCATGAACAGGGAAGGGGCCCCAGAGACCCAACTATCAGAGGGAACAGGGAAAGGAGCTGGAAGTGGTTAATGCAGGCATGTAGTATAGAGGGCAGAAGAGCTGAGCCGTGTCCCAGGCTGTCCTTTCCTTGTCTGTGACCTTGGACCATTACTTAATCTCTCTGAGCCTCAGCTTCCTCATCTGTAAAATGGGGATAACAGCAGTACCTTCCTTGTAGGATTGCATGAGGATAAATGAGGCAAAACACATAGAATGCCAGCACAGAGCCTGGCTCAGCAGCTATAATAGATGAACCACCTGGGGAACACGACTCCTGCTTCAGGACTTGAAGTGCAGTTGCCTTGGAAAAGGATGATCTGAAAAAAGGCAGAGGTGGTACCAACAGGCAGACATGACAGGAACACAGGCTTCTATTCAGTATCAGGAGCAGCTAATAGTAAAAGCTGTCCAGCAGTGGAGTGGGTCCCCCCACTAGAGATGAGTTTCTCAGTATAGGGATGTTCGGGTTATGGCTCACTGGCCATCTTACGGGGATACCACCAAAGGGAGTCCACACCAGGTGGGAAGCTGGACTGGATGAGGTTGGAGACCCCTTTGGATGCAGGGCTTCTGTGTGTCCTCAGAGAAGGACCGTTTTGAAGCAATCACAACAGACTAAAGTTCATGTAAGTCTTAGAAAAACATTAAGCTCAAGTGGTTAATCTTCCTTCTGCCCTCCGATACTACAAGGGACAAATATAGTCTAGCCCCTGTTCCTCATGCCAACCTTCTAACCATTGGGAGACAGCTGTTGAACAAGCGGATCACAGCCCAGTGCAGAGGCGTATCAGGAAAGCTGAGCAGTAAGGGGGCTTTTGGTGTGTGTGGGAACCATGCTTTCGGCTTCAGGATGGGAAGCCTGGCCACTCAGCTCTGACGGACCTTCCCCCTCCTACCCACAGAGCAGGAGGTGACGTTCCGCCCTGCAGAGTGGCCCCTGCCTCGGCCCACAGCCATCCACCACATTGTGGAAGATTTCTTGACAGACTGGACCGCCCCGGTGGGGCACATTCTACCTCTGAGGCGCTTCCTGGAGAACTGTCTGGACACGGACTTGCGAAGCTTCTATGCAGGTAACTGACATTCCCAGAAAGGCTGAGCTGGAGGTTGAAAAAAGACCAGATAGATCCGTGCCCTGTGGAGTTTTAGGACTCACATCTAGAAACCCAAACCCCAGACTTCCTACAACATTTACAGATTTTTCACAGAAACCCATCCCAGTACAGCACACCTGAAAAGGCTGAATAAAATGTCTTTTTTAAAGAACTGGTGGGAAAATAAGGGAACTCCCCAGAGGCCAACCACTAAGAAAAGCGTAAACCCATTGCTGGACATGGGATATCCTCTGGTCATCAGTAGGCTCTAGGGTAATTGACCGGCACTTGGGGACTGAAAGGTGAGGCTGGAGCAGAATGGAAGGTCTGTTTAGGGACCTTCAAATAAGTTTGGATCTCAGTGGGTCAACTAAGAGGCAAAAATCACCAAAGAGGGAGATGGTAGAGATGCATGCTTTTTGGCTCTGGGTAGAGTGGGGGAAAATCTCCCCAGGAATTTCCAATCATGAGGCCTTGCTCATGTGAGTTTGGGGCCAAACTTCACACTATCATTGTGGTGTAAAAATCACAAAACTAAATTCAAGTCTTCTGTAAAGAAAGACATTTTAAAACTAGGCCTCAAAAATATCACAGATAAAGTTCCAAACATGAACTCCCAAGCAAAAATCACTTAACACATAAGGACACAGCCACCATGAGGGAATGTCAGCAGAAACAGCCAAACCGTAGGATCGAACCCAGAAGACTCATCTGTCTAATATATGTAAAGAAATAAAAGTGAGATTATTGACAGTATAACTGGGCAGTTTTGAGAATGATCCAAATAAAACTTCTGGAAATGAAAATATTTCTAATTGAAACTCAAACATAAAGATAGAGTAGCATATTAGAGACAAAGAAAGAATTAGTGAACTGGAAGGCAGCTCTGTCAGCTAAACCCAAAGAGGGTCTTAAGAAGCCTAATGATCCAGAGGGAGAATTGCTTGAACTAAGCCAAATGTTTGTCTGTTTTCTTTTTAAACCCCCTGAATGCCTAGGATATCCACTCTTTTCTGTTCAGAAAACATCTGTTGAACATCAATTGTGTATCGGGCACTATTCATATGAAATCAGGTTAGAGAAGGTCAGCCCCTGGGCTTACAGGTCAGAGAACAAGTGTTCTTGTCTCATTCTCAGGCGGCATCCTCAGTCCACTTTGAAATAAAAACGTCGTATATATTAAGAGAATTGGCTTAAAACAATGTTTAAATTAATAGTCTAAATATATGTAAATGCTCCAACAGAGGTAATTCATAGAGCAGAGCTAAGCAACTTTGAAATACTAGCATTCTGCAAACTATCGACTTCGTACACTGACATAAGAAGTTACATGTTACGGGTCTAGAGACTTCAACTATAAAACCCCTGCCTGTGTCTGGAGGTTTGGGAGTACACACAGATGCCAGTGCCCATTAGGGAGTGTATCCACACCCTGAGTGATTGTTCCCCCCAATGCATCAACACAGGCCCTTTCGCCTCTTGGGTCCCACTGCCCACATACTGCTCAACAGTACAAGCTACTAAGTGTCATTACCTTGAATTTGCAAGAATTCTCTTGACAGAGGACCATCTGGCAGAGGGTGGGCTTTCCCTCTGCCCCATTAGCTAAAGTGCAGCTGCTAATTTTGGCCCCAGATTCTGCTGGGCTTCTCTGTCCCCTGGCCCTGCAAGAGGGGTGACAGTTGCCACCCAAGGGTCATGCTCCTCAAAGGCCACTTTGCTGCCCCTCTATGATCCCCTGCCCCCATCTGCTCTTCCCTGCTCAGAGAGGACTGTCGTGGCCCATTCTGTCCACAGCCCTCTGCGCTATGTCAGAAATGAAGTAGAAAAATAATACCTGTGTAACACCTTACAGCCTGCTCACTCATCTAAGCCTCACAGCATCCTTTGTAAGGTGCCCATTTTTTGAGATAAAAGACCTAAGATGGTTTTCTGACACTCGCTCTATTCCCATCCTGTCTCGAAATCCCTCAGAAGACTGAGCCCATATCTGTTTCATCTTTTCTGGTTTTTATATCAAAGTTATATAAGTACTTGGCTAAAAGCTTTTTTCCCCACTTCCATCCTTATTCCCCAGAAGGAACTACTTCTTGCTTTTCTGACTGTTTCTTCATATCTCTAAATAATAATGTATCCACAACTCTTTCCTGACTGATTAGATTTGATCTGCACACCAATTTGCTGCTGTGGCATAGATGAGGATTTCTCAGTTTTATCTTTATATCCCCCGCAGTGCTGAGAACAATGCTTTACACACTGTATTTGCAACTCAGATATTGAGGGCATATGTCTTTGAAGGCAGCTCTGAGCTCAAAATGGGACTGACCCACCAAGTTCCCAGCCCTGCCCTGGGTCAGCTTCCAAAAGAGAAGGCTGAGGTCTGCTCCAGGGGGTCTCCATGCAGAGCGGTATGCTGGGTCCTGACCCCTGGGAGCTGTCATTTCTGTGGTTTGCTTTCATTTCAGAACCTTGTTCTTCCGAAATGTCAGGGCAGCCGCCTCTTCTTAGACCCTCAGGGAGGGACAAGATCCATGGCTACTCAGGTCAGACGTGAGATGCCCAGAAAAGTCCACTTGCAGGCTCAAGGGACAGAGGGCACCAGGGGAGGTCCCAGGGCCCCAGCAGCTCCCCCTGCCCCTGTCCCCACACCTCTCAGCCCCACTCATTCACCTCCTTTTCCTTTTGTGTAGAGTCCTGCTTCCTGTTTGCCCTAACACGCCAGAAGCTGCCACCCTTTTGCCAGCAGGGGTACCTGAGAATGCAGGGGCTTGTGGGAACTGAGAGCCTCTGGCGGCATGGAGTAGAGAGTGGGCTGCTGAGGAACCATGCCCCTGTGGGTAGCCGCCGGGAGGACAGCAGCCAGCAGCCTGGCAGCCATGAGCCAGCAGGTCACTCCTTGGCTCCAGGGCCGCAGGTCCAACCTCTCAACAGCAATAAGGAGGAACTGTGACAGCCAGGCTTCTCCCACCTCGGCCCACAGGTGGCCTCCTCTCCAAAACCCATGCTCCCACCGAAGTGTGATTGCCAGAGACAACTCAGATCATCCCAGTGTCCACACCAAAGCCACACGGAAGGCACAAGGAGGCTGAAGGGCGGCCATGCAGTGGTCCCCCTCCTGTTTGGTCCGTGAGTGCCTAGGAGGTGGCGTCTGGAGGGCATCTGCCAGATGGGAGCCGCCTTCCACAGGGGACTTGTCTCCAGGTGAACTGTCATTAAGTGCCAGTTTCGGTTCCGTGCCCATCAAGTTCCCTGCAGTTCCTGCTCCTGGTCTAGGTGGGCCAGACCCCACCTCCCCGTGGAGGCTTCACACGTGAATCCTATCCTCATCTTCATAAGTGTTTGTGGCAGGCACTTTAAAACAAAAGCTCGGATATCCTCAGCCGTACAGGGCAGGTGAGATTGTTGCCAATGGAGACACCAGCTCAGGGAAGGTAGGTGATGTGTAGACAGTCCCTTTCTGGGGGGCCCTCAAGCCTGTTCCACTCTGCCCACCCCACACGGCCGCTCCCACCACCACCACCTCTGTTCACAACCCAGCGGGGCCAGCACAGCTTATCGTCACAGACCAGAGGGCGGTCATCAGGCAGTGGTAGGACAGCTCCCTGCAAAGCCATCGTACCTAAGCAGGTTTCTTCCTGAGCAGCAGTAGGCAGAGCCATGCTCCCCCGAAGAGTGCACTCCCCAGCTTACCTCCAGCCCCCGTTTTCTTGTCTTCCCTCTGCTCAGTACCCTTCCCTGCCCCCTGGCCCCCTGAATGCCTGGCCTCTGGCCTGCCTGATTACATTTTGTAAAACTGCCACCATGCTGTCTTTCTGTGGGAGCTGTTTCAGAAGTGGTTCCCCTGCTGTTTGTACAAAGCCCGGTTCAGGGAGACATTTATAAATGCATTTGTTTGATAACAACAGCGAATTCAGTTTCTGGTTCCCTTAGGGGTTCTGGCTCTTCGTTGTCCTTCACCAGGAAACTGCTCCCTCCCTACTTTCCTCTCAGGCATTTTAGTTCCATTTCTGAGTAAGCCATGGGAAAGCATTTGTACATAAAATAATTGTGGTGATTTTTCAAGTCCAGGATCACAGACTGCTTTCTCCCTGGTTCTTACCAGTCCTTCATGTATCCACCCAAAATTCAAGGGATGCAGGCCTTCTGGAGCCACAGCCAGTTTTCTGGGAACATCCTCCTTGGCTGGGTACAGAATCCCTTAGTCCCCCGGTGCTGCTGCCTGTCTGCAGACGCCTCTCCTACCAGGCATTTTCAGAGTCACAACAGTGAAACTCCAGCAGCAGGAGCCTGGCTGGGAGGATAATACTTGGCATGGTTTGCACAGGGTTGAACTTCCAAGTGAAGAGTCTCCCTATCCCAGGGAGTTGTATTCACCATTTTTCATACAAATTACAGGTAAACCAAACTTAGGTCCCATCAGCCCACCCTTCCTTTTCTGCAGCCTCTTTTAAAACAAATCTTTTAATCAGGACTGTTTGCATAATATCAAACCCAGTTAAACATATCTCACTTACCCAGTTACCGAAGGCAGCTGAGCCCTTGTTCCAGTAAATGTTCGAGGTGCCGTAACAAATAGTGCACTGATGCTTAAATTATGTGACATCTGCTGCATTTCCAGTCATCTGCCAAACTTAGTTCCATCAAAATTATCAGTCAGCCTTATTTGTGTTTAGTAAGATATGGTTCCATTTTTGCTCAACTGATGAGAGATGTCTTCCCTAGTATTCTTCTTATAAAACTGGTTAGTATTGGAAAAGGAAATAAATCTCATTTTAGATACCTATTTCATACTATACTTCAAAATTAATTCCCAGTGAATATTTTAAAACCATATAGAAACTGGAGCTGAAGGGTGGGTATATAGTATACCTCCTTTAATACAGTATATTAGAGAAAAGACTTTCCAAGTTTAGAAGCGATAGAGTAATTCCCCAGAGGAAAATGTTTAACATTTCTAGATACACACATCTAGCCCATGCATAATTAAGGGGACTGATGGGACTGTTTTAAGGAAAAGGTTAAAAGGTAAGAGGCAGAGAGCCTGGGCCAAAATAATGACAGCAGAATACAACACATAAAAATGAATAAAAATGTCTTTGTTACATAAATGACAGAAGTAAATGAGAACAAAGAATAGTTAACACATGTGTGACAAAGTTAAGTGAGAAGAAACAGGATGTGAAATTGTAGCTGCAACTGCTTGTAAACATGTGAACATAGAAAACCACATAGAGGGGAAACTGCAAAGGAAACAACAAAATGTCAACAATGGTTGTATTAAGTTTGCAGAGATATTTTTCCTCTTTTGTCCAAAGTTGTGGTGAAATAGTATGTTTATTTTTTTTGAATCATCTCTGTTTTTGTCATTTTAAATTGCTGAGGGCAAGTAGAGTAGGGCAAGAAGTGAATTCCTCTTCCCAGGGGAAATGCCCTGCGCCCTCAGTCAAGGTGGTGCCCATGGCTCTGTTCCTCTCCCCCCGTTGGGTGGTCGCTGCACCGAGTATCAGGAAAAAGTGCTCAGTCTGGAGAAGTGCAGTTTAAGTAGTTGTGCTCCTCTCCGCTTAAAGAGTCTTTGGACGGACTGCCCCAGCACAACAGAGGAGATCTCTGGAAGAATCTTCCCCTCCACGTAATAGAAAATGAAAGATAAAAATCCTCATTTTGTGGAGGACTCCTGGGTGCAATCTCCAATCCACTGCAGAGCCTTAAATTTCTTTTGCCTGATAAATGTGAGGAGGTAGCCAAAGTCTGCCAAGAAATTGATTTACCAAGAAGTGAATTTGTCTACTACACTAATCCTAACATGAAATCATTTGTTGCGACCCTACTGTGTGTCCAGGACTGCGCTGGGGTGGTTGTAGAGATAGGTCCACAAATTCTTTGTGGGCTTAATTCCCCTCCTGTTGAGTGTGTGCTGCACTAGTGATTTGCTTCCAGCAAGTAAAATACTGCAGAAATGACAGGATGTCATTTTCAAGATCAGGTTATAAAAAGACACATTCACCAAGAGACTGTGCTTGCTCTATCTCTGGAGTCACTCATTCTGGAGGAGGTGACCTGTCACGTTGCAAAGACATACAGGCTTGTATGGAGAGGTCCATATGGCTAGGAACTAAAACCTGCCACCAGTCACGTATGTGAACCTGGAAGTAGACCCTACTCCAGCCCAGCCTTTGGACGACTGCAGCTCTGGCTACCACCTTGAACACAACTTGATGAGAGACCCTGAGCCAGGATCACCCGCCTAAGCCTTTCCCCAGTTCCTGATCCACAGAAATGTTTGAGATAATGTCTGTTGCTTTAACTGCCAAGTTACAAGGGTTATTTGTTAACACAGCAATAAGTAACTAATACATGTGCTAAATAGCTTACTTAATTTAATCACTACAACCCTAGTAGATACTTCTATCCCCATTTTACACAGGAAAATGTAAAATTTGCTGAGAACACTTACACAGCAAATCAGTAGCATGGTACTTCAAAAGTCCACCTCCTTCAAGCCATCCTCTAAATAATAAATCATTAAAGCAACCATCTCCTCATCACCTGTGGGTTTCCTTCATGTGAATATTCAGTGACAAGAAATTAAGAGACTAAACATTTCCCAATCTAAGAAATAATGAAGTGTTTGTGGTCCCAAACAGACAAGTGTTGGAAATTGGACTTTTCTGCATCTAATTCATTTATAATGATTTGAAATGACTTGAGAGACTAGTCTGAGATGGTAACATCTCAAAGAGAATGAAAAAGCAGGTGATAGACTTTTGAAAGATTTTTGCATTGAGCACTGAACTTTGGGCTTTCTCCAGGAGAGCAGGCATCACTTCTATTTATGCACAACTGAGAAAGGAGACAGGATATTCTGTCGGTCTTTCTTCCCTGCTTAAATACATCTGTTGCATGCCGTTTTTTATTTCAGGGAAACAGAGAGGTGTTGAAATGCTGATAATGCAAAAGGTAACCTCAGAGAGCATCAATCCCCTCCAGCAAACCAGATGTCCGTGGTACAGTCAGGGCAGGAGGACTCCCACCGGGGACAGGAAAGCTCTGGCGTCTGGAGTACCAGCAGCCCTCCCCAGGCTTCAGCCTCAGCATCCTCAGTTCTCCGACCGATTACAGCAGCATCCCCCAAATCCAAATTGGATTCCTCCCTAAAACAGAAACCAGAGGCTGCATCATTTCACTGCAGATGCTTATTTTTTAAATACGGTAAAAATGCTGACTGGGGAAAGGTTTTTGTCTGACTGCAGACTTTTAAAAAAGCATTGACTTCCATCTGGCATCTCAGACAGAATGTAAATCTGCCACGAAGTGAAACTGATGGGCAAATATATGAGATGCTTTAGCCCAAGTATTTAATCCAAGTATATCATGTGGCCAATCCATCAACCCTGAAATAAAAAAACGGCATGCAACAGATGTATTTAAGCAGGGAAGAAAGACCGACAGAATATCCTTTCTCCTTTCTCAGTTGTGCATAAATAGAAGTGATGCCTGCTCTCCTGGAGAAAGCCCAAAGTTCAGTGCTCAATGCAAAAATCTTTTAAAAGTTTGTCACCTGCTTTTTCATTCTCTTTGAGATGTTACCATCTCAGACTGGTCTCTCAAGTCATTTCAAATCATTATAAATGAATTAGATGCAGAAAAGCCCCATCAACAGAAAAAAAAAAGACAGTATATATCTTGATATTTTGTCATTGTTATGATTTGTCAATGTAGTTTAGAAATAAAGCAACTACAGAAATGTATAAGATGAGCCCCTAAATACCACCTGTGTTTAAGTTTTAAATAAGTCTATCAGGAAAAGAAGAGGTGCCCAGAAGCCTCTGCTATGAGGCACTGCAGTAGGTTACAGATGGCCAAAAAATTCTATGACAACTCCTATCAAGATGTGGGATCTGTGTCGCCTCCCCTTGAATTAGGGACCAAAAGAATGTGGCGGAAGTGATGACATGCCAGTTCTTTGGCACAGGCCCTAGAAAACTGGCAACTTCCATATTTCTCTGGGACCCAGCCACCATACTGAGGGAGCCCTGGGGAGCAGCCCATGGGGAGAGGAACTGAGGTGCCTGGCTGAGCTGCCAGTTGCTCACCAGCACCGACTTACAGCCACGTGGGTGGCCCCACTTACAAATAACCATCACATTGGGAATGAAAAATAGGAATTTTGAGAGGACACAAATTTAAGCCCAGTGGGGTCTTATAACAGTGGGGTCTCTGCCTTACATCTAGTAGGCCATCATTAAATCTTCATGGGGGATGAGAACAACTGGACCACAGCCTGGACTTGAGGACAGAAATCAAATGGCTTCCTTAGGAGCTGGTCACCAAGTCCTTTGAAGACAATGCGTCATCTTTACAGACAGGTAACTCATTCCTTGGGAGGAGCTGTTAATGTGAACTATGTAGGCCCTTACCTCCCCCAAAGCAGCTCTTCTTTCCTGCTCCCTATGTCTGCGCTTAGCATTCCAAGGGCCTAATAGAGAGGCTGTAACTTGGATCCAGCTGGGAAGCCTGAGAAAACTATAAACAAAGAAAACTCACTATTTTTCCAACATAAAAACAATTCATACAAGTTCCCAGAAAGAAACAACTTTGTGCTCTAAGAGTTGTGCATTTAAGGAAACATAAAGCAAAGACAACACAGATCATTTGTGCATAAGTGGTCAGAAAGTAACAGTAAGGGACATGAAACTTGATCCCAACACATGTTTCTTGTGGCACTGAGCTAGGGAATTACCACCTTGTAGAATAACTGCGTGATTCCTCCATGTGGTGGGTTCTCAGGCTACTCAGCAAATATTGAAAACCTATGTTTATAATTATGACAAGCATGTCTAAGCATTTAATGATAATGGTAGAATATCCCCTATCAGACCAAATCCTCTCACAGAGAGCAACTCTGGACAAGATCTATGTATTTTAAAAACTACCTGAAGACACAGAGAGCAATCAAAGTAGGCAGAAACTAGGGGAGAGTTGAAAATTTAAAGAAAGCAATGGCATTGAGTTTTCTATTTCTTAAAGCTTTTCACCTAAGGATAGCACCACAGAAGGCAGCTACGAATCCAATAGAAACCCTTAATCTTGCTGACTGAAAGAACCGAAGGGAAGAGTTGAGGGATACCAGAGCAGTGGAAAGTAAGAATAGGAAAAATCCTCAAAAAGAGAGAGCCACAGAGAAGGAACCCAGAATTCTGCATACAAACTCTGCACAAACCTCTGGCTGGTCCCTGAACTACACATGTGTGGGGTAGATTACAAGCAGCTCAGCTAAGTCTGAAAAAAATGAACAGCCTTCAGTGGCCGCCCACTGCAAAGGAGACAGAGCTTGGAGTTTAGACTTAGCCAAGTTAACTGTCCACTAAAAAAGGCCAACATTCTTTAGAGGAATATATGTATCAATCATATGTCTGGTTTAGAATCCACAATTATTAGACATATAAAGAAACAGGAGATATGGACCATACTCAAGAGAAAAAGCAATTAATGAAGACTGACATGGAGTTGATCCAGAATCTGGATATATTAGGTAAAGATTCTAAAACAGTTATAAATATGTTCAAGGACATAAAGGAAAATATGGTCATAATGAGTGAATAAATAGGAAATCTCAACAGAGAAACAGATACTATTAAAAAATGGAAATTCTAGAACTGGAAAAAATGCAGTAGCTGAAATTAAAAGTTCACTAGACAGTTTTAACAGCATACTGGAGATAACAGAAGAAATTATAAGGGAATTTAAAGATAGATCAATAGAAATGATCGAAACTGAAGCACACAAGAGTAAAAGAATTTGGAAATCAAGAGCCTAAGTTATCTATGGGACAATATAAAATGTTCTAATATATGTGTAGTTGGAGTTCCGGTAGGAGACAGACAATGGAATAGAAATTTTTTTGAGGAAATAATGTCCTGAATTTTTCCAAATTTGGTGAAATACATAAATTTACATTCCAGAATCTCAAGCAAGATAAACACAAAGAGAATTACACTCTGGCACATTACATAAAATTCCAAAGATAAAGAAAAAATCTTGAAAGCAACTAAAGAAAAACAATACATTGCATGCAGAACAACAAAACAAATAACTGCTTGGCATCTCATTGGAAACAATGGAAGCCAGCAGACAATGAAGTGATGTCTTTAAAGGGCTAACAGGAAGGGGAGAGAAAAAAGTATCAACCCAGAATTCTATATCCAGTGAAAATATTCTTCAAGAATTAAGGCAAATAAAGACATTTGTAGATAAACTAAGATGAGAATGAATTTCCAGAAGACCTGAACTGTAAGTAATTTCATCAGGCTGAACAGAAATGATACCTGATGAAAACTTGGATCTCTTCGAGAAGAACTGCAGAACACTGCAAAGGACAGATACATGAGTAAATATTAAAGACTATTTTTCTCTTAATTTCTTATAATATTATATATGTATTTAAAGCAAAAATATCAATCTCGTGGGGTTCTTAGCATGCAGATGTAGGACATAAGACAGCAGCATAAAATGTGGGAAGGGATGGTACATGAACCTATCCTGTTCAGTTATTTGATATGGAAGATATTAATTCTAAGTTGATTGTGGAAAGCTAAGGATGCACACCATAATCCTTGAGTAGCCTCTAAAAATATGCAAACAGGTATAGCTACAAAGCTAGTAGATAAACTAAAATTAAATTCTAAAAAATATATTCAATTAACCCAAAAGAAATTGGGAAAGGAAAAACAGAAGAACAAAAGACATATGGAACAAAAAAAAAAAACAACAGTGAAACAGTAGACCCAAATCCAAACATATTGATGATTATGTTCATTGTAAATGAACTAAACTACTATTAAAAGGCAGAGATTGTCCAAATGTATTTTAAAAAAGTAAGACCCAACTATAAGCTGTCTCTATAAAATGCATATGTATATATACACATTAAAGTCCTAGTCCCAGGTAGGCTGAGAGTAAAAGGATTGAACAAGACATATCAGACAAACAGTAATTATGAGAAGGCTGGAGTGGCTCTATAAATATCAGATAAAGTAAACTTCAAAACAAAAAGCATTGCTGCAGTTAAAGGGAGACATTTCATGATGGATCAGTCAATACATCAGGAAGACAACAATCATAAATGTGTAGAAGCCTAATAAAGCTTCAAAATAGATGAAACAAACAGACTTAAAGGGAGAAATAAATTCATAATCATATTTGATTTTAACATCCATCTCTCAGCAACTGATAGAACAGCTAGGCAGAAAAATCAGTAAAGACATAGAGAAGCTAAACACTTTATCAACCACCTTGACCTAACATTTATAGAACATGCTGCCCAGCAACTGTAGAATATATATTCTTTTCAAGTGCACATAGTACATTCGCAAAGGTAGGACATAGGCTGGGCCATAAAGCAAGCCTCCATAAATTTCAAGCTCGAAATCTAAGAGCACTTAACTATGAGCTCTATATTTGCATTATCCCATTTAATCATTCACGATAATCCTCCTAATACTGGTATTATCGTTAGTCCAATCTTACTATAACTTTTGCTAGTGAAACTTTCATAAACTGAACACAATATCCTTATACCTAGCCCCACCACATCCTTGCAGCTCAGTGGGAAAAGCTCAGGACCTATGGTCAGAAGATCTGGATGTGAGCCTGCCCTCATTGTTAAGTGTCTGTGTGCCCTTGGTAAATCAGAAGACCTCTGTAAGACTTGATTTGCCCATATGTAAATGATATCTGAGGTACATACCGCCAGCCCCATTTTATAGATGAAGAAACCAAGCCTTAGATGGATTACATCACATTGCATGTAAGTGGCAGAGCCAGGATTCAAACCCGGGTCCATCTGACTCCAAAGCCCACACGTGTCCACCAACCTGGGTTCCTCAGATCTAATGCCAACATACCTGAGACCTGCCTTCTCAGCACAGGTCTATGATCTGCACCTTCAGGAGAAGCCTATAATAAAACATAAAATTTATACAAAAGAGTACCTTTTCAAAGAGTTTTATATATGTTAACTCTCATTTACAGATGATATTAAAGGCATGGTAGAACTGAGTTGTTAAACATACACCTTACGGGGCCAGTCTGCCTGGGTTTGAGTCCAAGCTCTTCCACTTGCTTGATTCATGATCTAGGGTAAGTTATTTACCCTCTCAAGACCTGAGTTTTTCTCATCTGTAAAATGAGACTAATGACAGTGTTTTGCTTACTATGAGGACAAAATGAGCTAAAATATGTAAAGTGCTAGCTAGCTCAGTTGTAAGACATATGGTAAGACCACAGATGTGCTGGTCATTATTTCATTATCATGAAGGTTCCATCCTTTCTGTATAGGAAACACCACTAGAGCTGCAGTGCCAGATAAGGAATAATGTCAGAAAACCAACTTACCCAAGGTCACTCGGTGGGTTAGGGGCAGAAACCTGGTGAAGACACACTTCCAATTCTGAGCCCAGGGCTTGTTTTTCCGTCCCACAGCTGCCTCCTGTTCAAGGACCAGGAGCAGGAATACTGCCAAAGGGTCAAGGAGGCAAAGAGATTTGGCCAAGAGGAAGGGTCCTGCCCTGCCTCCCTGCTCCAGCAGAATCTGAGCACCAGACCAACCAGGCAGGAACACAGCAGGGGTCTGTGTTCCAACGGAAGACAGTGGAATGAGCCCAGGTGTCCTGGTGCGCCAGCCATTACATGTCGACTGAGCACAGGCCTAGCACTAGGGTGAGCAAGTGAGGACAGCAGCATATGCCCACCTTCATCACAGCCCTGACACTCCAGAGGTACCGTCCCAGGAGGGGGCAGTCGCCAGTCTGAGTTAAGGGTTGTGCTGCATTCCAGTGTCAAGTTTTTATGTTCAGAAGCAGGTGAGAGGACATTGTGTCATTGCTGGAAACATGACAGAACATGAATCCCAACAACACAAAACCAGCTGCTCGACTGTAAAACACAAGTCACGTTCTAATTGCTCTGCAACAGCATAAAAAAAAAAAAACAACCACCATGGAAACTGAAAGAAAAGATACTCGAGGAACACCACCACTTGGAAAGAAACTCACTGTCGGCTTAGACTGCGGCCAACCACCTCTTTCTGTGTTTTTTTTAAGGTGCCTCCTCCAGCCATGAAATCTTTGGACACGCTGTCACTGAGATGCATCTGTCTCACAGCCCTGTCCCCTATGATAGGCCCTGCAAACTTGAGGGCGCGGGTGTTCCTGGGCTGTGCCCAGCCTGCTGGCCCTCTGTGAGGAGACTGCAAGAACCGCACTGCCACCGTCCGGGCACCTCTGCTTACAGCTGCTGCGGAGAACCACCATTGTTGCTCGCCCTGCCACCAGCTGTGCTTGCCCCGGATTTGAGTCCCACATCACCCTCTGGTGGCCTGGATTGGCTGGCTAGTCCCTGGGGTTTAGCAGGGAAGAGAGAGCGGACTAGAGTCAAATCAGATCCTTGCCAGAGGCAGTGTATCACCTTTAAGCTTCCATCTCCTATTTTCTGGATGACCTTGGCAAAGCTACTTAACTTCTCTGTGCCTCAGCTTCCCCATCTGTAAGAGTACCAACCTCATAGGGTTGTAGGATTAAATAAATTAATGTAGGCTGCTTAGAACAGTGTCAGGTGTAACTCTTCAATACAGCAATCGCTTTTAAGCCCTTTGACCATGACCCACGGTAGGAAATACATTCTATATCACAGTCTAGGACATACAGACACATAGGCATAACACCAACAAATGTTTTACAAAATAGTGCTTATAACATGCAAGATACTCTGATATTTTCAGTTCTGCTTAGTTTTTTGAAAGCTGAGTACAACTCACTAAACTGATTTCACAAACCCATTGATGACTCACATCCTCAAGCTGAAAACTATTGTAATAATACTAGTAACAGTGAGCAGTAGAAGCTTTACCCCAGCTCAGGCTGCCAGTCCTGGCTCCCTTGCTCCTCCTCATACCTGTGCCCTGAACCTGTCCTGTGACTGAGCCAGATCCAGGCATGTCAGCTCTGGCTGAGCAGATGAACCCCCATGTAGCTGAGGAGCCCCTTTAGGGCTTCCTGTGAGAGCAACCTTGCCATAGGTTCCCTGCAAGAGGAAAGGAGATTCATTCATCATTCACCAGGCACTGACAATATGTCAGGCCCTGTACTCTCTCCTTCCTGCAACCTCACATCCCTCTCTGAGGAAGGCATCATTCTTCCCATTTCTCAGAAGAGAAGCCTGAGGCCAAGAAGTGAAGTGACTATGGAATACAGATAAACAGGAGTGGTCCTCTTTTGGAATTCATCATGTAAATTTAAGGGAAATCAGCCTTCCAGAAAATGCTGTGGAAAGGCTGAATAGGGTTAATAGGTGGCTCTGGAAGAGGGAGTGCTGGAGACACAGAAAAGCAAAAATGAAAATGGGCAGGGGGAAGCAGCCCTTCCAATGGCACCTGGCATTAGCAGGAACAGCTGCCCCAAGCAATGCTGACCTCAGGAGAGCCAGGGTACTGGGCATCCCACTGTGGGTCACCACTGTTGGCTCCAATCCTAGACAGGGCAGAGGCAAAAGTACAAGTCAGACGGGCTGGAGAAGGCCATGTCCCCCCATGCACTCATCTGGTCCCTGGACAAGGGACTCTAGTAAGTGGAAAACTGACACAACTGCTGGTGGCCAGAGGATGTGGACCTATTCCAAGGATTCCCTCACCCCAGCCCAGAAGATCCAGTGTAGCCGTGGCTCGGGTCCTGCCCACCAGGAGTGTGAGCCACTGAACCAGACAATCAGACAGGAGACAAATAATAGCATGATGTGACCAAGATGAAGTGGGGAAAAAATGTGACAATGATTTTGGAAGGGCTGCTATGATGCACCAAGCCCTCAGGTAAGCGACGGAGATCGACAGACCCCCAGGAGCTTACATTATAGTGAGGAGTGAGGAATAAAGAAACAAACAATAACAGTACAGAGTATGGTGATCAATTGACAGATGCACAGAGGCTGCGGGAAGCTCAAAGGAGGGTATCAACCCCATCTCCAGGAGGCTCAAGGAAGGGTCTCCAGGGATGCTGTCTAATCTGGTAGTATTATCTCAAATGGAGAGTAGAAGGAACAGTCTTCCAGTCTCAGGGGGGTAGCAACTGCAAAGCTCAGTAATGAGAGACATAAGCAAAAACGGTAAATGATTCCCACTGGCTGGGGTGTAGATGGAAATGGAGGTGTGAGATGGAACTCTGCCGATTTCCCTGCCTCATAACCTTGAACAATTAATGTAAACTCCGACTGTAAACTACTCTCTGAGATAGTCAAAGACATTTAGTTTAATAAGCATCTATTGGATATTCTCTGTGAGCCCCGCACTGTGTCAAATTGGTGCTGCGCAATGTGGAGTAAAATAAAAGCTTCAGATCCCTACTCTTAGTGTAAGATCTGAAGAATCAAAAGTTAGCATAAGTACAGCCATCTTAAAGGCTTAAATACCACCCCCTAACCTAGAAGGAGGAAAATTATTAGAATCTTGAAAAACAAGTTAGTCAGCCAGTGTTAAATGTAGTGACCTTTAATTAGCTGACCTCAAATCAGTTAATCATACACACCAAGCTTATCTTGCTAGAACCACCCTAAACATTCCGAAGGTAATCTTATCTAACCAGACCCCAGGATGTGGCCCCAGGCAAAGATTTATGTGTCTATGAAAAAACAATGTATTGTGATTGTGGAAAATGTTGCCCCCTTTGAAAATGCTATAAAACCTTCTGGCTTTGTGTGCTCAGGGTCCTTGTTGAGACCCGCTGCTTCGGGCTAACTTGGACCCCAGCTAGCTGGTTCCTGAATAAATTCCTCTTGCTTATTGCATCAAGAGACGCCTTCAGTGAGTGATTTGGGGCGGCGTCCTCCTCTGGGAGAATCCAACATTAGGAAGCATATGTACAGACACTGTGTAATGTGTAAGAATTATGAATAAAGCACTAGGGAGAAGGAAGCAATTAATGCTGCTCAAAGAAGTGGTGATGAGTAGGTGTTCTACCAAGGGCAGAGAGAAAAAAGACATTTCTAATTAAGCAAAGGCAAGGATGAGGAAAAAGGTATTGATGTATTCATAGAACCGTGAGGCCATGAGTGGTTGCAATGTAAGATTCAGGGTGCAGGGGAGACAAGAGGAGGCTGTGACACCAGGCTGGGACACACAGATGCCTAGACCCTGTTGTCCAGGACAATGACGGTGTGAAAGGTAGGCCCAGCCAGGCCCAAGCAGGTTCACGAGGCTTCAAAGTAAGGCCCTCCTCCAAGAATCACCACCCTCTGGCATCTTGTCCCGGCCCAGTTCCCCAGCAACTCCAGGGGCAAGCTTGAGGGGCTTGGGTGCACAAGCCCAGCTTTTCACGTCACATACTGGGAAACTGAAGCCCCCCAGGGTGACTGGACTGAAACCACGATGTCATACAAATGTGTGTGACACAAAACACCTCTTTACTCCCAGTCTGGGTCTTTTGCCCGTTAACTGGCACCCTGCTTCAGAGGAGCGTAGCTTCCTTATTTGTAAACTTTAAGGAGGGAACCTTCAGAATCTCCACGAGATTTTGGAAGACTCTGAGGCAGAGGGGTGTAACGGTGCTGGCTGACTTACAAGGCAGAGCTCGTTTGCAAAATCTGGAGCCATACGTCCCCACAGCCCTAGTCTCCTCTGGAAGCGCCCTCGTGCTCCCGCCTCCTTCCACCTCCCCTTCCGGACCCTCCCCTCTCGCCGCCCGCCTCTCCCAGTCCCGCCCCCGAGAGCCACCCCTTTTCTGGCTTCTCCCCAAGAGCCCGCCCGCTCTTCCGGTCCTTCCCCCTCCCGGGCGCGCTGCTCTGCGGTTCTCCCCGCCGAGAGCCCGTCTCCTCCGGGCCCTGAGGCTCCGCCCTGTTAGCTGTGCTTTCCCCACGTCCTTATTGGCTGATAATCAGAGCCGCCTCTCAAGCTGCAAAGAGACGAACTCAGATTGCCTGTCCCCGGAAGTGGCGCTAAAGACCCGCCCCTAGGGAAGTGACGGCAAACGTGCCCTTGACAGGCGGGGAGGGCCCGCGCTGCACAGAGGTAGGAGGCCCGTGGGGGTGTCTCGAGGTGGTGTAGCTTTTGAGGCACGCGGCGGACTCGTTCCTGCGCAGGCCGGCGGCCGAGCGGGCGGACGCTGGGGTCGGGAGAGACCTGCTCTCCGGGGAGCCGGGTCCCCTGTGGCGTCCGCTTCCCCAGTTCCCTCCGCACACGCGTCCCTTCTTTTTTAGTTCCCCCCAAAATTCCTATTCCTGTGTCTCTTGGTTCCTTTTTGAATTGTCGTGGTTCCTCATTCCTAATTTTCCTCTTCCCTTTGACTCTCATTCTTCACTCACCTGTACTCCAGGAATCTTATGTGCAGTTGACCCTCGAACAAAACGGGAGTTAGGGCCTTAAAGTCCCCCCGCCCCCGCCGTCCAAAATCCATGTATAACTTTTGTCCCCCGCAGAAACTTAACTAATAGCCTACTGTTGATTTTATGGTAGTTAATGATGGAATAGACTAGTATCTACATATATTTTATGGGTTCATGACAGCTGTGCAGTTCATTTGTGTTTTCAAGTTGTCGCAAATCTCCAAAAAATATTTCCAATATATTTATTGAAAAACCCGTGTATGAGTGGACCCACGCAACTCAAATCCATGTCGTTCAAGGAGCAGCTGTACTTTTTTCCTGGCCTTTTGCTTCATGCCGTGCATCTTCAGCCCCCCAGGAATCCCAAATACCTTTCTATTTCTGTTGTGTTGACTTCCCGTTGTCTGCCCCAGCTCTTCCTACTTCTTCGCCTTACGGATGGCGCAGCGACTTCTCCTGAGGAGGATCCTGGCCTCCGTCATCTCCAGGAAGTCCCCTCAGGGTCGAAGGGCACCCCTCACCCCCAGGGTCCTGCAGACGCCACAGTGCAGTCCTGATGACTTGACGGTAACACCCAGCCAAGCCCGGTTGATATACACCACCAGAGCATGTACAACGACCTTTAACATCCAGGATGGACCTGACTTTCAAGACCGAGTTGTCAACAGTGAGACACCAGTGGTTGTGGATTTCCATGCACAGTGAGTCCTGGGGATCAGTAGAAGCCTGGGGTGTTGCCTTTTCGGGTATTTATCGCATACCTGCTATGTCTCAATACCATGTTTGATGCTTCTCATACACAGACTCATTGTAATGACTGGTAAGACCCAGGTCCTGCTCTCAAAAGTTCAATGTCGTCTGATAGGAGATAGGCTAGTAAATAGTCCAGAACTCCCAGTAATTGGTGCTGAAAAATACTTCTGTTCTGTATCTCACTGCCTGAATGGCTCAGAGGCATCTTCAGCTTGGACCAAAGCAGGAAAAACAGTGATTATCGCATCATCCGGTTTTTGGTGTGTACAAGTTCCTGGCCCTGCAGATAAGACGATTTTATTTTAATATCTTGCCACCAAAATAGGGAAGGGCTGGCAAAAAATTATCAATGCCACTGCAGTGGTGCTCAAGCACGCAGGGGATGGGCAGGAGTTTCTTTTCAGTGCTGTCTGAGTTTGTTTTAGGGATATATAAATGCTTGTAGCCTTCTGATTGTTAGCCTGACCTTCTTCATTTCCATACTGGAGCCTGGCTAAATGCCTGGCTACAAAAAAACTAGACAAACCGTTCAGAATGAGGCATCCTAGAAGGAGCCTGTATACCCTGAGTTAGAAGTTGGGAGGCCTTCTAGGCAAATCTCTGACAGATTATTCTGCTTTCTTTCCTGTTGTTTCCCTGACTCACCATGTCGCCTTGGGCAGGCCATTTGATGTCCTTGTGCCTCCCTTTCTTCACTTGTAATAGGAGATAAGGCCTTGCAGACTGGGTTTTTAGGTGTTGTGAGTTCATGAATGGAAAGGACTATAAAGGCTGAGAATAAAATAGGAGTCATCAGCCAGGAGTTCATGGAAAGCAGAGCTGTTCTGCCTTCCTGTTTTGGTGAGCACCCTGGGCAGGACTTCCAAAGTAGATATTAAATGGGGTGATGCTCCATTTTCTTCTCCAGCTAGAAGCAAGGTGTGAATTTGTTAATTCACTGATAGCCTGTCCTCAAAGAGCTAGCCACCCAGAGGGAAACAGCTGTGATTCATGCAGTGCTAGCAGCTGACACAGGGCCTGGGAGGCTACAGAGTAACCTGGGCCGAAAGAAGACACTTGGAAAACAACTTGGGTTGCAGTCCCAGCTGGGCTTCTTATTAGCTCTGAGCTTGCACAGGCTTCTTGTAAGGGCCTTGTATTTTTAGGAAGATGTTTTCTTTCCCTTTGCAGGGTTGAGAGTTCTGTGCAGCAAAAGCTGGGAAGGTCCTGGCACAGTGACTGGCACCTTGTAGGCACTCCCTGGCCATTGGTTTCACCTCCCTTAAGTTCTGATCTGTGAGGTGTTCAGAGTAACTCTGCAGCTTACGAAGTATGTTTGTACACATCCTTAGTTGATTTCTCATCACATCTTTGAGAGACATAGTCTCTCTTTTTTCAAAAGAGGAAACTGAGGCCCCAGAACACTTAGCTGGTTGGCAAGGAGGCTCTCTTTGAACCCAAACCTTTTAACTTCAAATCCCATATTCTTCTATATGACAGTGTATTTCCTTTAGATAAATAAGTGAAATAACCTTTCTTCCAAGAGTCTTCTGATTTTAGAAGTCCAGGACTTGTGCAGATCCCCCAGTTGCAAAGTCCCCTGGCATTACCATTTGGCATGTCCACATTACAGGTTAATATTCAAACACCATAAACAGGTAATAAGGGCAAAAGGTCCCTCAGAAAGTTGTGGGTCAAGGGAAGGTTCTGGGGAGACAGTAGATCAACTGATGTGTGCTCTTTTGACTGGATGCCTCCTCTCTCCCCTTCTAAGGTGGTGTGGCCCCTGCAAGATCCTGGGGCCAAGATTAGAGAAGGTGGTGGCCAAGCAGCATGGAAAGGTGGTGATGGCCAAGGTGGATATTGATGACCACACAGACCTCGCCTTACAGTATGAGGTATGACTTGCAGGGGGCTGCCACACGGCAGGTGATTGGGGTTGGTTGGGGGGAGTCTTGGGGCCGTAGGATAGCTGGTATGGAAGACGTCTTGGGGACCACTTGGTAACCAGTAAGGAGGGTGTCTTGTTTTTGTTCTAGAGCTCTCAGGATCTCATAGCACTCAGCAGATGTGGCTCCGTTGATCCTCTGAATCACTTGTTTCTTTACCGCCTCTATAGAGAGTGGAATATATGACCCGAAACACCAGGTCATTCTCTACTCTGGGGCCATTGATCGATTCCTTTATTGTTGTGTTCATCCATCCACATGCTCACTCAGCAGGTATCTGTGAGCCCTGCAATGTGCCAGGCCTTTGTGATTCTGTCACAGAGAGGATGAGCTCCTTGTCTCCAAGCAGCCCTTAGTCTTGTGAAAGGGAATGGCAGGTAGGCAGATCATTTCAGCATGAGTGAGAAGTGCCAAGAGAAGGGATGCACAGGGACTGACTGTTCTGGCAGAGAGTGGCAAGTAGAGGGTGCCTCACATGAGAGGGACCCTTTGAGTGGGGCCAGGGCAGAGGCACAGAGAAGAAAGAGAAGCTGAGAGCCCAGCACACATGGAGACATGAAATAATCCAATGTGTCTGGTTTGTGCATTCATTCAGCAGGCTCACTCAGGCTCTTAAATGCCAGGTGCTGTCACTTGATGTGGACGGGATGGCAGTGAACAAAGCTGACAAAATCCCCACCTTCATGGGGCCTATGTTCTAGGACTTTAGATTTGGGGTCAGCAAACTTTTTCTCTAAAGGACCAGGTGGTACATATTTGAGGCTTGGCATTGGCATTGGTCTCTATTGCAAATACTGAAAGCTGCCACTGTAGCAGGAAAGCAGCCATAGACAGGATATAAAGAAACAGGTGTGGTTGTGTGCCAGTAAAAGGTCATTTACAAAACAGGCAGCAGGTTGCGTTTGGCCTGTGGGCCATAAGTCACCAATCCCTGTTTTAGGTCATAAATGCTATGTAGAAAAGTGAATCTGGAAGAGAGGGTGGGAGTGCTGAGCATGGGGCTAGGCAAGGTTTCATGTTTTAAAAAAGTCGGCTAGGGAAGGGCTCACCGAGAAGCTGACATCTGAGCAGAGGGAGGGAGTAAAGAGTGAACATTCAGCTCTTTGGAAGAGCAGTTCGGGCAGAGCAGCCATGAAATGCAAAGACCGCAAGGTCAGGGTGAGACTGTTTGCCTGGAGCAGAGCGAGCTATGGGAAGGCAGGTAGGAGATGCGAGGGGTGTGGGGCCTCCTCCAGGCCTTGGAGACCACTGCAGTTGGAGAAAGGGGAGGACTCCATAGTGGCTGAGTGGCCCGAGGGAGGAACTGAGCAAGGAGTGGGAGGACAGGCTGCTGGGAGAGCTGGGTGCGCCAGCGTGGAGGAGGTCTGGGAGCCACACCGAGGATAGCGTTGTTACAGAGCCACGGTCACACCTGCTGGCCTGGGGACAGATCTGGCGCACTGACAGTTGATCTGGCCCTCAGAGTGTTTCTTTAAAATACCAAACCAGGTGCTGCTGTCCAAAACTCAGATTTCATATAAAAATTCAGATTTCTGGTTCTCTTGAAATACTGGTAATCTGGCCAGAGTGAACCTTTACCCTCCCTGCTTCTGGGTAACAAGTAACTGAAAGAGGGCCTCTTTCTTTCTCAGAGTTTGGAAATCCAGGCTGCCCTCTCACTGGACCAGTTCAGGTGGAGATGCCCATCCTCCAGCTGGTTCTCAGTGGCAGGAAATGGGAGGGGGCAAGGGTGGGAGATTAGGCTGCCCTGACTAGAGGCAATGGAAGTAGAGGACCAGCAGGCAAAGCCCTCACCGGCTGCAGGAGGGCGTAGGGGGTGTCACCAGAGCAAGACTCCCCGTGGCGCCGGGCGACTGCAGGCTGCTGTGAGGCCCTGGGGGTGATGGGATGAGCCGCCGTTTATTTTCAGAATCTCTCCCACTGATCACTCAGTCCAGGGAGCGCTTTTCTGACCATTTAGACGACCCTAGCTTTCTCCTGCTTGTCCATCCCTCCCCAGAGGTCCACAGCAGCTGTGGGGTGAGGGTGTGGCCTCCTAGTGTGTGCTGCTGAGAGCTGGAGGTCCCCAGGGCTTCCCTGGGCTGATGCGGAGGCTTCAGGTGTCTTAGTCTTCCTCCTTCCACAGCCTGACACCACGTCACCAGCCTCAGCCATTGGAACTTTCCAAAAGGTGCACCCTGAGCACCAGCCATGTCTCAGGAACTGTGGTAACTGGTATGAATGCAAAGAAAAACAACCCTGCCAACAGTGCCACATAGGTGGTGAGAATTCCCAGTACCACTCCCACTGCATTCCACGGAGCCTGGTATATAGTCAGGCACAGAAGTCCTGTGGTTAAGCCTGGAGAGAGAGAGAGAGAGAGAGAGAGAGAGAGACCCTGTGGTTAGGCCTGGAGTGTGTGTGTGGAGCCCTCTCTAGGATCTTCTGCCTCTGTCCACTGTCCAGGTCACGTGCAGGCTACACAGAAACGCCTCAAGGCTGCTGGGCCCACGTCTCCAGGTCCCAGCCTCCTTGTTTGCCACGCTCTGGCCAGGTGTCATTGCAGGCTTAGGAGGTTCAAGTAGGGATTCTCCTGACCCCTCCCCACCCCTTTCCTTCCTCCCTCCGCACCTGTTCTTTTGGAAAAGGACATAAGGAAGTGGGTTCAGCCAAGAGATCCTCGTATCTCCTGGGACAGCTCCCTCCTTTTCTAAATGTTGGATCAACTTACTGGAGAAATTGTTCTAAACTGCATTCAGGGAATTAGGTGCCTCTCCCCCAAGCTCTCCTGACCCCCCCAATACCAAGCACACTCAGTGAGTCTCTTTCCTCACAAATTGCTCTCCCACTTGCACCCCACTTTTTATGCTCCAGTCAACTGCGCACTCTAAAATTTCACTGTCTCCCAAAGGAGGGGGAAGGGGAAGGCTCAGAGCCTTGGGGTCTCACTGTCCCCCTCTACCCTGAGCATCTGGGCGGCTGCCCTGGCTTGGTGGAGTGAATGGCTCCCTGCTCTCTGACTCCTCAGATTCCCACTAAGGGACTGGGCATCCCCGATTATTCGGACCTGCCAACTGCTAGGGGGAAAGAGTGGATCCGAAGGTGGATCCTTTATGCTTTGCCCTGTGACTTCTACTTCTGACCCCACACTTCGGAGTTGTTACCCTTTTATTTTCCCATCTTATAGAGGATGCGATACTCCTTACAGAGCATTAGAAAAACAGCCAAGTAAAAATAAGGGGGGGGCCTGTCACCTGTTATCTTACCATCCAAACACAATCACTAAATCACTGTTAGCATTTGAGGTAATTTGTTTTGAGTATTTTATTTGAATTTTTTTCCTTTAATTTCTATATAACCTCTTTGAATAATAATATTTCATAGCTACTTCAATCATTACCACATTCCCCCTATTTTGGAAGTATTCTGGTATTCTAAATTGGTGCTTTGTAAACATGAATGTGATCTGGGTTATTGTTAAAAAACAGATTATGATTCAGTAGGTCCAGGAAGAGTCCAGGATTCTGCATTTCTAACAAGCTGCCGGGTGATACCATTGCTGGGCATCTGAGACCAACCATCAAGAAGAAAACTTCTAACACCCTGGGACATGCTGCTCTCGTAACCCCCTCCCCTGCCATCTCATCACAGGCTCCCTGTCAGCCCGAGGGTTCACTCTTAGTGGTGTACATCTCAGGGGTTTTGACAGATTTATAATGATGTTATCCACGTTTGCAGTATCGTACAGAATAGTTTCACCATCCTAGAAATTCCATTTTCTGCCTTTTAGACCCTCCCCCAGGCCTCGGATGACCATGGTCTTTTTGCTTCTCTGTAGTTTTGCCTTTTCCAAAGTGTCATAGAGTTTGACTTGATTTTTTTTAACAATAGTTTTTCCAAGAACCCTCCTATATCCAAAAGCTTTTACAAAGCATTTGTTGTTTCTCATTTGAAGTATGAAATCCTTTTTAATGTTCCTCTTCACCCTGCTGGGACTCAGTATTTATCTCCAGTTCTTTGTTCTCTTGGGCTGAGGTGCAGTGTAGTTTGGTGTCATGACAGCAAAGTCAGATGTTTCAAATCCCAATCTGCCACTTAGTCACTCAGCCTTCATGCCTCAGTCTTATCTAAAATGACCCCATCTTGAGGCAACCATTTATGAAATAGCACTCACAAGTGGTTAGCATGTCCCTGACACTTAAAAAGGCCCCAGTATGTAGCAGCCAGGGTGACAGTGGTCTCTTCCTTTGCATTCTGCAGTTAGCCAAGGAGGAGGTCCCCAGTCCCTGTGACACCCAGCACTGGGCCTGTCCTTTGGTAGGTCCTTAGCAGTTCACAAATGGAGGAAACTGGGAGAAGGGAGAAGACTTGGCAGGATCATTGAGTTCAGTGGCTGTGCAGACCGGTAAGTGGGAAGAGACCATGCACATGCCTACCTCCTGCCCTGTGCTCAGGGTCTTTAGCCAAGCATTGGAGACTCCAGGTGACTGCACAGAGCAGGAGTTGCTGCACCACATCTTTTCATCTTTTCTTGGGCTCCTTGGTTCCCTCAGTGCTGCCAGGATTGAGAGGGAAGCTGAATTCTTGCTCCACTACTGCCCCTCTTACACTTACATCACATTTCAGAAGCGTGTGCCAAGGGACCTACACACTTCCATTTAAGGCAGTGTTAATAAGCACCAGCTCCTCCTGATTTGTGAGCCAAACTCAGGATCAGCAAAGCCACGTCCTCCTCCTTGGAGGGGAGGGACATCCCGTCACAGCCCAGGTGTCCCCACAGTGTCCAGTAAAATCCATCTTCTGGCAAGACCATGGCTGTGTGCATGTGTATCAGTTTAGACTTAAACTTCAAGAACATCTTTGTTCGGTAATGACTAGACCTTGGTCATTACAGTCGGGTGTGTCTGTTGTATGTCCGCCTGCAGCATGGTCTGTGTGCACACACGTGGGTGTTTACACAGACACCAGAGGGACAGGACTCATCTGGAGTTCTTGAGGAAAACGTCCAAATCCACTCCAAGCCACTAGGGTGGACATAGAGTCCTACTTATAAGAAGTAAAAATAATTAGACCACTCTCATACATGCAGCTTTGATATCAGTGACAGGATCAGACAGGATGGGACAAGTCTTGTGCCTTGTGCCTTGGTTGAGTTGCAGATTTGAGCTACCCCAGCTGCCTTCACAGACCACCAGAGGGCGCAAAAGAACAAAGCACTGGTCCGGCCCTAGTGCACCTCAAATGACTGGGGCGCTTTCTGGGTCCTGCCTCTGCCTGGAGACGGGGTGAGCCATGTGCTGGACCCTTGCACTCCGTGCCATCACCCTGCCAGAGTCAGGAGGACAGGAGCCAGTTGTGGGACTAATGAGCAGTGACAAGCATGGTCAGCCCACTGCCAGATGGGTCTGCCTACACATTCTCTGGGAGGTGTGTCAGCCTGCCAGCCTCAGGGCAGTCTTTGAAGGGACTGTGTCATCTTACCTGCTTTGTTTATCCCTGAAGCCCATTAGGAAAGGGGGCAAGGCCTGCCATATTGTGAGTTGAGTTGGTGGCACCCACCCAAGATGTGAGATTGGGTGGGTCTGGCCTGGGGTTCTTTTATAACTGACATGCGCACAGTTTGAACATTCTAAGCCTTTAGTCTCACTTCCCAAGATGATTCTTAGGTAGGACAGCTCTCAGGATATGTGAAGACCGAGTATGTTTGTGTAAATCCCTATTGTTACTTAATAGTTAACTTGTTTGTAAGAAAAGTCTGTCTTGCTCAGTTGTACATTTTTTTCAAATGCCCACAAATGCCAGGCAGTAGAAAATGCGCCATGGCAGAGTGGGCAGTGGGCCTCATTTATATACCATGTAATCTACAGGCCCCCTGAAGGAGCTGGAGAAAATGCCTCAGAGGCCGAGAATGTTGCCTCTAACTCCCCTTATAAATAAACGTCAGATCATGTATGGCTGAACCCTCCTCCTACGTTGTCCAGCGTGAGTCAGTGAATTTCTGGACCCTGTTAACTATTCACAGCAGTGAGCTCAAGTGGCTCACATGGCGCCCTGTGTTAAGACTTCCCTGACATGGCCTCTGTAGCTACCATTTGTTGGAGGCCCACTGTATGCCAGGCACTGCGCCAGCTTCTACCCTGTTGACAGCCTTGGCCGGTGCAGGGTGCTGAACTGAGACCTTGCCTGCAGCCCCTGTGCCCTCTCCTGGAAGTAGTGCAAGGACCTCCACCCTGCCGCAGAGAACCCCTGAAAGAAGGTGATGAAGTGCCTTGCCCAGAGAGGCCCACGGTGGGTCAGCCACTGAGAGCCTGAGCTCCTGACCACTCAGCCTTATATACACATCGCTAATCCCTGTCCTGAACTCTCAAGGTAGATCCATCATCCCATTTTACAGAAGAGAGTGCTGAGGCTCCGAAAGTAGTGTGCTCTGTGAGTGGCAAAGCCAGGATTTACACGTCTGGTCTCCCCTGTGCCAGGCTGCCCCTGGGGGAAATTCCCCGAGCCCCTCAGCCACTCCCCACCCACAGCCCTGGCTGGCCTGCAGCTGCATGGGTTATTTTAATCTCCTGTCATTCCAGCCAAACCGCTGGGCCAGTGAGTCAGCCATGCGGTTGGGGGAGGAAGGGTACTGCCGGGAGCCCACAGTGGAAAAGTCCCTCCAGTGGGCGGACCTCCGGGCCCTGCAGTATCTCTGCACCAAGGGGAGGGGCCCTACCCATGGCTTTGGGCAGTCGCTGCCCTGCCTAAGCCACCAGCCTTCCCCACAAAGACTTGGGAATGTGGTTGAGAAGAATTCCTTTGGCCTCCCTTGTGTCCCCCACCTAGGTGTCGGCCGTACCCACTGTGCTGGCCATCAAGAACGGGGACGTGGTGGACAAGTTTGTGGGCATCAAGGATGAGGACCAGCTGGAGGCCTTCCTAAAGAAGCTGATTGGCTGACAACAGGGAAGACTCCTGGCTGCCTTTGCCCACCTGGGCCCCTGCGGTCCTGGGTGGGATGCTGACAGAACTCAGAGCCCTTCTGTGCTGGCCCTTCCCCCCTCCTCCCTTCTGTCTGGCCCCTGTGGCCCATGCTTTGGAGACCAGGCCTCCAAACATGGGGACCTCAAGTGCTTGCAGCCCAGCTGACTGCCAGGGTGGCCATCAGGAATGGAGCTGCTGCTGATCTGGGGACAGCCGCCTTCCCAGCCACTCTGTTTCTTCTGTCTGCTCCCTCCGGGGCTTACGGCAGTGCCCCCAGAAGGCTTGGAGAGAGCTCCAGAGCCAGCCTGCGGCGTTACTGCTCCAGCAGTCACAGCTCGGTCCTCAGCTCCATGGTCCCTTCCAACCTGAACCCTGGTGCCTGGCTCGTCTGCCTCCTATATTTTCTTTCCTGTGACTGTTTTTTGTAAAAAGAAAAAGAAGGAAAAAAGAAACCCCAACAAGTGGGAGTAATATTTAGTTCTCTCATTTTTTGTAGGTCTGTAATAAAGAACTTTATGTGATCCATTCTCCCTCCCACTGTGAAGAACAGACTCGGGCCCCCCACTGCGTTCCCGTGTAGCCGCACCCCCTCCAAAGAGCCGCCTCTGTTCCTCCCTCCCAGGCATGAGGGCCGGGAACACGCCTTGGGCTGGGGGAGCCCTGCACACCCTTGACCGAGGGAGGCTTAAAACACCACCTTCCCTCACCATTAGCTGGCCGTTCGGTTCTCTGAGTAGGTGGCTTCACTGTGAACAAACGACCGAGAAAGCTGGGCTTTGTACTGTTGACAGCTTCTCTTCTGTCTGGGCTCAGGAGCCCTTGTGACTCCTGCCCAGACTGGGCCACTGTCCCTGTGTCCTCTGATTCCCTGCCACCCTTCTTACCCATGATCAGTCCCTCCTGTCACACTGTTTCAATGGTGGCTGCTGTCCTGGGGACACCTTCACCTGCAAGTCAGGCAAGAGGGTGCTTATTGTCCCCATTATGTAGATAAGGACATTGAGGCTCATGGGGCACAGAGCCAGTTTGTACCCTGATGTGGTTGCCTCTGAGGCCTGAGCTCTTAACCGTGGTCCCTTTGAACCGCCCAGGGCTTCTCTCTCTGCTGACTGGCGTGTGGCCATGCCTATAGGGAGCATGGCCCCCAGAGGAAGCTGGGCGGGCCCTGTGTGTTCTGCAGAAATTTCTCAGTCTGGGGGACAGGATCTCTGACCCTTCTGGTTCCCAGCTCCCCTTGGCACAGGGAGGAGGATGCCATGCTTGCCAGCCAAGAAAGCTTGCCCTTTATTGGCCTTCTAGGGCCAAGCTGCCCTTTGGCTCAGTTGTCCAGCTAAGGTGGCAACTTCCTAGGAGCTGTGGGTACTTTTCAGCAGGGGTATCGTGGCACCCTTCCCCTTGGCCCTGGGTGCTGTGTCCACTGCTCTGTGCATTGTCCTCAAGAGCTCACCTCTTCCCATTGGAAATGCCTGAGTTACTTTGGGGTCTTTGAGGGGTCCACCCAAAGACTGTCAAGAAGGCTTCTATGGCTGATGCAGGAGAGCTGGGTTGCCTCAGAAGTTGCCTGTGGCCTCTGAAAGCTTCTAGGTATTATGAGGGACAAGGGGGTGGAAATAAACCAGCAGCTGGCATTAGTGCAGAAAGGCCAAGAGCTGTATATGAGATGGGTGATAGCCAGTGCTCAGAGAGCACTAACTGGGTGCTACCCACCTCACCCAGCCCCACAAAAAGCACTACCGTTGTCATTCCCTCCTACACATCAGACCTACTCAGAGAGGGTGAGGACCTTGTCCAAGATCATGAGGCCCACAGGCACCCAGGCTGGGGTTCAAGGCCAGGCAGGCTGGCCCCTGTTGCTGCACCTCCCTGTCATCTTATAAAATGTAGTGTATGATCTTAATCCCACAAGCAGCAGCCAGCAAGGCAGGTAGGGTCAGCTCATCTTACAGAAGAGTCCCTGATGCCGATGTTGAGTGACTCAAAAGATGCCCAGTGAGTAAGGGGCAGGGCCAGAAATCAGAGATGAGGTGCCCTGACTCCCCTTTCCACTATACCCCACTGCCACTCCTTAAAAGGTACCCCTTGCCAAGCACTTTCTACACGCATTACCTCATTTAATTCCTGCCTTGTGAGGCAAGTATTATTTCCGTATTACAAGTGAAGAAACCGATTCAAAGAATGGACTTGACCAAGGTCACATCTAAAAAGTGATGGTGCCAGATCTGATCCCAGGTGGGGGTCTGGCTTCTGAGGGGTAGGTGTGGGCAAGGGCTGGCAAAGGCCCCAGGGCCAGAGGCAGGGCGTCTGTGCCCCCCTGAGCTCCCTCTCCTTAAAAGGTGTGCTGCAGTGTGCGGCAGCTGGTGGCTGTGGTCATCCTAGGTTGGCAGTCTCTTCTCAAGTGAGTCATTGGCTGTAAGCCCAGAATCCTCAGGGTGATCCCGTTTGACTAATTCCATGGTGTTGACCTCACCAGGTACACTGCTGGCTCTGCATTATCGGCCCTATTGTTGCCCTCTGGGGGCCTCCTTGGGTTCCTGGGCCAATGGAAGAGGGGCTGGCAGTCCTGCTGGGGGATGGAGGACAGCCCTGCCCCTCAGAAGCACTGATAGCTACTGAAATCTGGGGAATGGGGGCACAGCCACAGGCCCCCCCTCAGCCCCAGAACATCCATGGTGTGGCTTCTGTACATTTGCTCTCTAATACTGAATCTATCCAGTTGACCTGAAGACAGGGGTTGGGCATGGAAGCTTGGGTTTGATGTGCTGGCTGCTTTACTTGTGTTCTCTGTTATGATCCCCACCAGCCCCCTGCCAGCTAGGAGTTCTTGCCATTTCACCCAGGGGGTACGAGGCTGAGCACAGTGATGTCAGGGGGCTGGCTGGGATGCCACTCCACAAGGAATGCTCACCATCAAAGATCGTTAGCAGGTCTTAGAAGCACTTGGAATGAGTGAATGGTTGTCACTAGGTGGATTCCTTCTAAACACATGGAACAGGGCAGGGAAACTGACTATGCCCCTCAAGAAGCATATGCTCCAAGACAGCAGAGCCAAGGGTCAGTCCTGAACTAATGTCAGATCGTGGGGGGACCTCATGTATCATCCAGTCTCCCTCATGAGGGCACGGGGTGGGGGTGACTCGCCTGGGGAACAGCACGTTTGTGATAGGGACTTGAAGCCAAGTGCCATGACTTCAGCCAGCCCTTAAAAGGAAATGAGTCAGGGCCTTTTCTTCCCTTGGCCTCAGGAGGGGTGATAGAAGATCACCGCCTCAGAGGGCAGTCTCTGGGACCTGGACCTGTCCAGGGGATGTTGACAGGGCCGCTGCTTGTGCCCTTCCCATCATTCCCTGCTCGGAGCGAAGGGCCCGGCTCTAGCACAGCTCCCACCCCAGCCGCCTGGGGAAAACTGCTCTGGAAAGTGAAGGTAGTTCTGGCCGGGCTGCCGGAAATCCCTAATGTGCGTTCCCTGGGCTGGGAGGGATCAGAGAACAATGTCGGGGCCCTGCCGGCAGCAGGCAGGATGCGGTGCGACAAGCCAGGCTTCCAGGCATGTTGCCGCAGTTCCTCTCTGCTGCCTGGAACACCTGCAGGCATGACCCTGAACCCCAGTCCCCAGGGTGGCTTCCACAGCTCCACCGGAAGTCTAGACCACTGGTGGCTCCAAGGAGCCTCACCTCTCCAGCCACCCCTGACAGCCTTTTAGAACCTGGGGGCCATCACTGCCCACTCCGCAGTGCTGTAACTAGGGCGGGAAAACCCAGCTCTGGCTTCAGATTCTGACTTTGCCGCCTACTCGTTGTGTGGTCTTGGGCAGTTGCCTCACCCTCCTGAGGCTCAGCTGTCACATCAGTAAAATGGGGATCATGCTGGCTAGCACTCGCTGAGTGCACATGACATGTGTCATCTCACGGAGCCTAAGAGACAGGGACAACCACTGCCATTTTACAGATGAGGAAAGAGGCCCAGAGAGCTTAACAAGTGTCCGAGCTCAGGTCTGAACTCAGGTGTGTTGGATTCCAAGGTCTCTGTGTTCTTACCCAGCTACACTGCCTTCCCTCTGGGACCGTTTTGAGCCTCAGCTGCACCCTCTGCAAGCTGGGGCCAAAAATACCACTTCCGTGGGCACTACAGCAGCATGCAGATTGAGGTGCGAAGCATGTAGAAGCAGTCTGGTACCAATGTAACCAAACCTGGTGAATGTCCTCTGCTTTGCTTCTCCCCTCCCACCAGGTTGCCCTCACTCTAAGCTGCATCTTGAACGGGAAACACCAGGCTTCCTGAGATAAGGATCCCAGCACCCCCTCATGGGCAGGGCCCAGCATCTTTGTACCAGGCTGTGCATCTTACATTCGTCCCTGTGGCCTGGCCCTGGCTCCTGCCACCACCTCCTCCCGCTCTACCCCCTCCACCACCCCCACTGGGCCTGGTGGTACCTATGGCTTAGGCAGCCCCTGGGAGCTAGAGGTGGTGACCTCACCCTTGGAGAATGCCCTCTGGAATTCACCCTGTATTCTGTGTGCCTCCAGGCCACATCTGACTGCCCTCTCATGCCTCTAAGCCAGCCCTCCCCACACAGCCTCCTTGGGGTCAATTCCTGGGAGCTAATTACTAATTGGGGGTGAGCCAGTTTCACCCCTTCAGCCAGCTGGGTGACCATAGGCAAGCTGCTGTCTCTCTAGTCTGCTGCCTTTCAGCCTTCAGCCAGGGGACAATCCAGTGTTGATCCCTTTGTGCCCCACACTGCCAGATGCTCCACCCATACCTAACCCTCCCAACGCCCACCTGCGGTAGTGACTGTCGTCCGCATTTCACTTGTGAAGAAACTGGAGCCTAGAGAGATGGTGTAACGTGCCCAAGACACACCCTGGGAAATGGGCCCAGGGTGGCTTCACCCAGTCTCCTATCACTCCCCCTTTGCCACACTGCTGCCCCCAGGAAGGTCAAAGGATCCCTCTTCTCATTCCAAGACTGGCGACTTTGGGCCTCTCTTACCTGCCTCCCCCACCCTTAACCCCTGGCAGGAGGCAGGAGATTCCCTTTACTCAGGATCTACTCCTAAAACTGGAATATTCTTTCCTGTCTCAACATGGCAACATCACTCCCAAACCTCAGCCAGCTGGTGTCTGTGAGTTCTTCTTGGGGCCCATCTGGTATAGGAATTAGGAAATCAAAGCATAAGAAGACAAAGGTCCCACCCTCAACTCATTTGCAGCAAACACACTGAAATCATCTAAAGTGTAAGTGCCACAGTTGAAACAAGTAACATTTATTTCATGAAGATAAAGTTCAGAATGATTGGAAGTCCTCAAGAGGTGCAAATCTTCAAGGGCTGTCAGACAAACTATGGAGAGGAGGTGGTGTTCAAGATGGGTTTTGTTTTGAAGAACTGAATAGAAGTTAACCTGAGAAGCAAGCCCTGGGACGAGCATCCAGGAAGAGGGAATAGCATGTGCAAAGGCACAGAGGTGATCTGTTCAAGGAGAGAGGCTGGGTGGGATGCAGGGGGCTGAGTAGGGACCCACAG